GAAGAGGTTATGAACTGCTATCCCTAAATCATATACAGTACTGTAAACCAATGTAACCTTAACAAAATTGATAAATTTTTAAAAAGGATTTCTTTGGGTTGATTTCCACAGAATTTTATCACTCACCTGTGTTCCGGAGCTATGAAACTGAATACCTGGGCTAAGGAATAGTTTTTCCTAATAGACAAAAAAAATTTAAAAACTCACTGTTGAACAAAATGGAAAATTATATTCAGAAACACTAATAATTTCCATAGTGTGTAGTTTTGTATTAACTTTCCCTCTTACTATTAAAAAAAAAAAAGTTGTGCTAAATTATCATAACTGGGTAAAAGTACTTTAAAGAGTTGTACATAAATCACTTGACACAAAATATAATATAGCATTACAAAATCTGAATATTTAACATGAACTATAAGTACTAACTGCTAAACTATAACTTAAAATAATCTACAAGCATTTATTTCTTAAATCTAGTAGGAGTCCATTTAAGATAATATAGTTAACATTACATTCACCAATAACCAAAGACTTCCTGAACCCAATTTGAATTCACTATAAAAAGAATATTTCAAGAGTTAAATATTTCAAAATCTCAAAAAACAGAATTTCATAATACTACTAAAATTAAGAGAATATGCAATGAAAGGGCCAAAAAATTAAAAAATGTAATAAATTAGGAAAATATTTATGATCAGTTAAAATGCAATTTAGTTGACAGACTTCATTTTTCATGGATATTTAACTTCTTGCATATACTAGATGGAAGCAAGCAACCTGACTTCATACAACTTATAGCCTGTTATGAAAAGACAGAATTTTAAAAGATTTGATCAGAATTTTAAAAGATTTGTTTCTGCTTAAACAGAAAACACTCAATCTTGCTAAGCAGTAAGCAGTTCACCATGCACATCAAACCTAGTTGGGAAGTGCTGGAGAAAACATTAGTTACTTTCTGGTTGCCAAGGACCCAGCTAGGCATGGGGCTTGCACACCACATGTTATCTGCAAAGTCAACAGTCTAGAAGTAGAAAAAGATTCACAGCCACAATGGAAGGGGTAAGCACGCCAACAGAGAGGACACAAAGAAGGGAGAAGCAGTGGGCTAGCAGGGAAATCATACTGATTGGATAAGAAGCCATGAACAGAGTCAGGAGAACAGAAAGTTCTTGTCACACTTGTCAGGAGCAAGCGTGAGAAGACAGGTAAGAAGTGCCACTACGAAAATGACATGTGGACAGTCAATCATCCACAAACATACAAAACACAGGTGAGGAAAGGTAAAAGGAGCTCATCATGAATTCAGCTTTGAACGAGCATTCCCAAGGCATCTACATCAGCAAGATAAAAATGCCCGATGAGCAGCACATAGCAGAGTTATGGAGCTCAGAAAAGAGCTCTGGGCTGGAGAAAACAGTTACAGATTACCCTGCGTCTATCCAAGGAGTGCAGAGAGAACACAGCTGAGTGTAAGGAACATCAATATTTAGGAAAGAGGAACAGAGAGAAGTCCAGGAGCAGAGAAATCAAACCCTGAGACTCAGGGCCTTGAAAGAAAAAGTGGTAACCAGCATCTAAAGGACAAGAAAAATAAGACTACGCTCCAGAAGAATGACTCAGAGGTTGTGCTAACTTGCGCCAGGTGTATAAGCCTCCTGCTTAGAGAAGGCTGAAGTGTAAAGTTATATGTATGTGTTTGTTTTTTAGGTATATGAAAGTAAAGCCAGTAGATGCCCTTATAAAGAAGTTGCTGGTGGAGCGAGAGTGAACAAAAAAATGCTTGAAGAAAAAAAGGCTGTGCAAGGATTTTGTATTCAGTTTTGTCTCAGGGGGAGAAGAGGCGAAGGGAAGTGACCCGCTGGGAAGCCTCAGTCAGAGGATGGCTCAGCAGATGCAGGTACAAATTACTAAAAGCGCATGACTTGAGATGAAAACACTTGATCTTTCTTTTTTATGTTATTTTATATTCATTGTATAATAAATTACTTGGGAGAAAAGTAATTCCCCAGGTAAGTTTAATCAAAGTAAAACTACACAAAGAATTCAAACTAGGAAAGGAGGCCATTCAAGATGACCACAGGGGAAGATCCTGAACACCTACCCAAAGTACAGCAAATCTGCAGCAATATGTTGGAACAATCTCCTCTCAAACTGGGAAAGCTGGGACAGCCCTGGGGAAAAGAAAGTGGGGCTTGTCAGGGCCCACTGTGCAGGCAGAGCGTGAGAAAGGAGTTACAAAGACATTTTACCGAGTATAGACAAGCTCTTAGAGTTGGGCAAAAATGAGGGATTCCTAAAATGCTGAAAGGGAGGGTGAAATTACAAGACAGGCGGCAATGTGGCTTGTCTGCATCTTCCATACAGTGATTAAATGTGAGGGATATAAGTGCTAAATAAGAAACTAAGTTTGAGTGATTTTATGTAATTATACAATGCATTTAACAAAATGGCTTCAGACAAAGACTCTGAACGCAATATCCTATGTTGAAAGTCTAAAAAAACAGTATAGCTTTCTTAAATTTCAAATTCAGGAGTGAAACAAGTACAAGGATGATGACATTATGTGTCCATCCAGTGCAATTTGTTCTGGGGCATACTTGAGAACATTAGAAAAAGAATGAGTGAGGTCAAAACCAAAGGGATAATCAGCAGAGGCTCCAGAATTCGGACTCTGCCACTGTCAACAGGTGAGGCACTCTCTACAGCCTGGGAGGAGAGAAAAGTATTATCTGGCTGTACTTACAAAAGGACATGGACTGCAAAAATCAGTAAAGGAATTTTCAAGCTTGCCCAGCTTTCACAGTGAGATCCAAGCCACAAAGCTGGAGCTAGCAAAGTGATGCTTGTCAATATGTAAGCAACTTTTAATACGCATGAGAAATACGAAGTTCTAATAACCCAAAATTATGAGCAGGCTAAAAGGTAAAGTTATTTTTGAGAACTTCTGAAAATTTGAATCATGTGATTTGACAGACCTACATTAGATTTTCAACCACCCAATCTGTTTCATGGCAATAAAATATAAGGTCTGATTTCAAGCATTCTCTTCCAGTAGTTCATGGGATGCATAATGCATTGGGAATACAAGAACTTAAAAATATGTACTGCTAGTATATACTTTCTTCTTTGTTTAAATAATTTTATATAATATTTACATCATTCATTTCTGTACAATGTATGCTTTCTCCTCTCAGGTGTAGTCCCCATGAAGTTCCCACCAACAATTCACCCGTGCACCATCAACATAGTACCCTGTGCTCTTCCCACCTGTTTTGATCCTACTCCCTCCTTCTCCCCTGAAGAAAGTCTCTGATTTATAGTTGCCTGTTGATTTTGATTTTTAATTTATAATTACTTTTTTTTTCCCTGATCCCTTATGTGGTTCCCCTACATTCCTCCTATATTGAAACCATCCCATATTTTTCTTTTTCTTTCTGGCTTATTTCACTGAGCATAAACCCTTTCAGCTCCATACATGTTGCTGCAAATGGCATAAGTTTATCTTTTTGGATTGCTGAGTAATATTCCATTTTGTGTGTGTGTGTGTGTATATATCTACTTGATCCAGTCATCTATTTTGGGGCATTTGGGTTGTTTCCATATATTACCTATTATAAGTAGTGCTGCAATAAACATAGGGGTGCAGGAGTTGTTTTGAATTTATCTTTTTGTGTCCTTTGGGTTGATACCTAGGAGTAGAATTGCTGGGTCATATGGAAACTCCATTTTTAGTAGTCTGAGGAACCTCTACACAGCTTTCCATAGTTGTTGGACCACTATGCATTCCCACCAGCAGTGCAGGGGACTTCCTCTTTCTCTACATCCTCGCCAACATTTGTTACTGCTATTTTTTTTTAATATGTGCCATTCTCACTGCTGTAAGGTGGTATCTCATTGTGGTTTTGATTTGTATCTCCCTGATTACAAGTGATTTTGAACATTTTTTCATATGCCTGTTGGCCATTTGTATTTCCTCTTTGGAGAAGTCTTTTTAGCAATTCTGCCCATTTTTTAGTATACATTTAGAATTCAGTTCTCCCGCCCAGGATACTCTGCCTCCTGTCTTTGTATCTGCTAACTTCTTGTCGGTCGTGGCTACTCTCCCTTATGATAATCCCCTGCAGCTGACTCCTGTTTCTCCCATTATCACAGTTAAAAGGAATCACCCCTAGGTGATCTCAGGTTTACCAGCATGAAGGGTCTTTCAAAAGATAAGTCTCAGACGGATGATGCCATGGTACCTAACTCAGTGTGGATCTCAGCACTTAGCAAATGGAATGAGGAGAATTAATTAACATTTAAGCGAAATCATTAAAGATACATAAAAAATGGGTGGCTCTCAGAGAAATTTTATTCTTGGGAGAGGCCTTTCAGGCTACTGCCTCACTCTCCCCCAAGACCTTCATTCCTATCAACAATTCTTTCTTTCACTGAAGATCAGAGCAGACAGACACCTGAGAAGTCAGTTCAACGCCTCCATTACCCAAGGACATGAACTAAGTCAAATTATTCAGTAACTTAAAAGGTCAATAAACAATGTCGCATCATTTGCTCCTTCATTAAATACTTATCTTTATCCTCCCATTCCCAAGCATTCGATCTTTCTGCTAATAACCATCATAATCCTTCCCCAGTTAGCTCCTTCTACCTACAAGGTGCTATTTTAGAATAACAACATTAAGCTAGATGAATGACACATATATATTAGTGGTATCATCTGTTTATCACTTTATCACCTCTTAACTACAATTAGATAATAAATTCTCCAAAGAACAATATTATAACATCAAAAAATGTACATTTTATATGCAGCATGAACTAAAACTGAGTAATAGTTACCAATTGAAGAAAAATTAAAAACCTAATCAGAAAATGATTTACTTGCATGATATTAAATTACAGAAAAAGGAACACTTTTGTCTCCTCCTATAGTCAAAAGTTTATTATCTACTATCTAATCTTATCTACACTGATCTACCAGTTAAATATTAAGTGCCTACCTAAAAGCCGCTTCCCAAAAGCAGTTCATTCCACAAACATCAGAGGGCAGCATCCAATAGGGATTCCAGTAACACACAGAGAAATCTTTACACCTAACAGAGTAAGACAGAAATAAAGTCCTACATGAATAATTCAGTTCAGAACAGGAAATTTACTCAATATAATAACTTACTGTTCTATTTTGCAGCAACAAAATTGTAAATCCAATTTTGCAAATCCAATCACTATGTAAAGATGTTTGGAAATCACTGGAGAATGATTTCTTCATTAGTGAGGGTACCATTATTTTAAACAGAACTTAAAAGTTTCAGGTACAATACAGTACACTGGGAAACAGTATTCTAGTCAGGAACTCTCATGATATATTAAAACCCCTTCCTCAGATGTCACAGACAAAATGGGAAAACTTCTAAAATTTCCCTTCATGAACTATGCCTATTCTTCCTGGAATAAGATCCATTTCAGCAAAACCAAGTATTTGCTTATCCGAAGCAAAATTAAAATGCTATAAATACTAACATGGGGAAACAGAGGCTTTCTAAATTTTTTAACTCAATCCTCAAAGGTATTTTAAATTGAAAAACAGGTATCCTTTTGATATTCATGGCTCAGTTTCATGACCTACATTATCTCAGTTTCATTATTTCACACAAGTTAAAATGGAGGACCAAGTGTGATCTTCCTTCCTAGAGTGCAGATTGGAGCTTAAAAAAAAAACCCCAGAGAGGCCTCCCCGGTGGTGCAGCAGTTGAGCCCTGGGTTGCGAAGCTGCCCACAGCCTCTGCAGTGCTGATTCAATCCCTGGCCGCCGCTGGGTGAGGGTCCCACATGGCGCGCAGACCTCTCCTGCAGCCTGCTGCCCACGCCCCCACCCTCCCCCAACCCCACCCCACCACCCCACTGCAGTGTGCTTCAGACCGTCTGCCTCTTCTGCTCCCCGCTCTGGCAAATCCTCTCACCCTCCCGCGCTTCTGACTGTACCCAGTGCTTGTATAAATAAATAAATAAATCTTTAAAAAAAAAAAAAAAAAAAAAACCCAGAGAGGAGAAGGGAGAGGGGTCACAACAGGGAAGGGAAGCAGTGATGGGTCACGGTGCTGTGGTGGTGGGAGAACTACCAGGACTACACCTGGAGGGAGAAACCAATTACTGTACAAAAATGAACAGTGTAAGAAAATAAATACATTGAGAGGGAAAAAAACCAGTCACCTCACATTACAAAAAGTATGGTTTCCTTTGTTATTCCTTTTCAAAACAATAGTCTAGCTTGACGTTCACTTCCAAGGAGTCCTGTGTAATAAAGCCAGCAAGTACCAAGTCAGAGTGAGTCACCACACCAGGTCAACTCCTGTCCTGGTAGCTACGCCAGTGTAGCTTTGTTTTGTCTCTATGAATTTTCTTATAGCGAATTTCTATGAAATTTCAGATTTGCAAAGTTCTTAGATCACTCCTCTCACAAATGTCAACAGATTAATAAAGTAAAGCAGGGGAGTCTCAGCCCCACTGCAGAGTGAAATCACTTGCCCTACTAATTCAGAATCTGGGGGAACAAGTTCAAGCGCTGGAGATTTCTATACATCCTAAGAAATTCTGTATAGCACTGCATTAAAAACTACAATGTTGGAATGGAAAAAACAATGGAAAAACACTTATTTTTAAACTTAAACAGCTTATGAGTCAGGCTCAGTGGTGGTTATTAAAAATTAAAAGATTCTGGGCCTCCCTGGTGACATATGAGTTAAAGTCTCAGCACCATCAAGCTATCCCAGCCACTGTGGCCTGAGTTCAATCCCAGGCCAGGGAATTGACCCACATGGTGCAGCAGGCCTTTCCAGTCTAGCCCACTGCTCCTCTCAGCAGTGTATTTCAATAGATCTGCCTGTTCTGCTCCCCACTCTGTCTCTGGTGAATACCCTCAACTCCCTGCAACTCTGGCCTACACCCCAGCTCTTAGATGCATAAATAAATAAAAATTTAAAAATTTAATTGAACAGATTTCTTCTATTTGAATGTTTTCACTTCCATTAAAGCCACACAACAAACCTGTTGAGACAGGTATTTCCATCTTTGGGATAGACATTAGGACAGACATTCTTCCAACAAAGCCACAGTTCACCTTTGTTTCAAGAAGAAAAGAATTAACCTTGTTATTCCTTACCCCATCAAACCTTAAAACAGTGGAAAATCAAAATGCAAAACGAAGTCTCAAAGAAAATGACTTAATTTTTCTATGAAAATTACAGCTCAAAATGATGTAACAAGAGCATTTTCTGTCCCAACTTGCACTGTGCAATGCACCCGCTTTAGACAACCACAATCTATTTTCTATCTTCACAGATTTCACATAAATGGAGTCATATAGTATGTGGCCTTTCAGGCCTGAATTCTTTCACTGTGCATATTTTCAGGTTTCATCCACTGTAGCATTTATCAGTGCACATTATTATTGCTTTTTCTGCCCAAATAACATTCCATTCCGTGGCTGGATCTACATTTCTGTTTATCCGCACTTCAGTTGATGAACATTTGGGGTGTTTCCCACTTTGAGGAAACATGTCCATGCTGCTATGGACATTCATGTACAGAATTTCTGTAAAAGCACAGCCTAGAAGTGGAACTGCTGCTTAATGTAAAGTCATTAATGCAGGGCCTCCCCTGGTGGTGCAGTGGTTGAGCACTGGGCTGCGAGGCTGCCTGCAGCCTCTGCAGAGCCAGTTTGTTCCCCGGCCCCCAGCGAGGGTACCACAAAAATAAATAAATAAAGTGATTAATGCAGATGAAATTTGCAGCACCAAAGTTTCAGGTCAATTTCTTGACAATAACTCAAGAAAGCATAGCAAAATTCCACAGAAGGGATGTTTTCTTCAAATTTGAGATCTGTTATTGTGGTGAGTGCTACCGTCAAATGCTCTGTCTTTTCATCCAGAATAAAAAATGTCTCAAATTTTGAATCATTTCTCAAGTACTAAAATTATGAGGAATATTTTTTTGATCAGTTTGTGATTTTTTTTCTTAAATATTTGAAATATAAGCTCACAGGAAGTTGTAGACACTCCACTCGGTTTCCCCCAATGGTAACATCTTACCTGAGCACAGAGCAATACCCTATTATCTGGAGTATGATTCCATCAATATAGAGACTATTTCACCACAGAAACTGATACTGTACAACCCCCAGACCTGATTCAGGTATCACCAGTTTTACATGTACTCAGGTATGTATATGCGTGGCCTCATGAAGTTTTATCACATGTATAAACTGGTGCCACCAACCTCACATTCAGGATACAGAACTGTTCAAAATTACTGTGAAGATCCCTTAATCACACAGATCTAGAAACACTAAGCCATAGAAAACCTGTTGTTGAACCACTGTGAAGTTCTATTTCAGTATGTCCACAAGGAAAACATTTTGCTTTGATGAACTGCACTGATTTGGGATTTCTGTCATATGTCTACTATTCCATTTCCAATAATTTTAAGAAATAAAAGCAAAATCAACTAATAACAAGGGCTTGTTTAACTTTTCTACCTTTTTTTCTGGCTTTTTCTACATTTACATTTTTTTCTGGCTTGAAAATGCAAGTGCTGTGTCCAGATTAGTTGCTTGTCCTAATTTACTGCTTATAATAATGGTCACCAGTATGTAATGAGTTCTCATTATGAGCTTTTACTCTCAGCCTTTAAAATCAATTTTTATAAGAGAGAATGTGAAATTTGGAAGTCAAAAGAGTTATGCTACTTCTTGTCAACTGTAGTCAGTATTTTTTTGTAATAACATTATATGTACTCATTAGTGCATGTTTTTATATTTCATTAAAGACTTAAATCCAATGAGATTGCCCCAGGGAGGCCAAGTCCTTTATACTTTTAAATGAAACTGGAAAAAGTATTATTCATTTCTAAATGTCCACAGTAATGAGATTTTATACACCTTTCAGAGTTAGGGTTAGGCTCGGGCATATCCCACACAGGAGGGAGCCTGCACCAGGCACTGCAACCCAAGAGTGCAGCTTCAAGGCACAGATACCTGCTCAGAGATTGTGCAAGAGGAACAAAGAGCTCATGGGCTCAGGAGGAGACCTTCCCATGACCCTGACAAATCACTTTTTTTGAAGATCAGTGCCTGGATCACTCATCTGCAACTGAAAGCTGCCTCCAGATAACTCAGGTTAATTTCTAGCTCTAAAGCAGGCCTTCACCTCTCTTAAATCTCTAATTTCATGAATACTAAGTGGAAAAGGGTCTGCTTATATGCAAATGTCTTTCAATAACTTACCTATTTCAAAAATAAGCTATAGGGCCTCTCTGGTGGTGCAGGAGTTAAAGTCTCAGCACTATCAAGCTATCACCAGCTACTGCTGCCTGTGCTTAATCCCAGGCCAGGGAGCTGACCCACCTGGTGCCAGCAGACCTCTCCTGTCTGGCTCACTTCTCCCCTCAGCAGTGGATTTCAACAGATAGGCCTCTTCCGCTCCCCGCTAACTGCTCCCCTCTAGGTCTCTAGTGAATCCTCTCACCTCCTCTTCCCCGCACCTCTGGTCTACACCCCAGTTCTTGCATGCATAAATAAAATTAATCTAAAAAAAAAAGCTATAGCATCACACTATAACATGCACACACACACACACACACAAACTGGATTCAAGTTTTAAATATTAAGAAAAAGTGGGGGGAATCAGAATGGTACAAAGCTTTTCTAGGCAAGTAGTAACAATAAAGGAAAAAAAAATGCCAATCTGAATCATAATTTTCAACTTCACATGGTATAGTCACTGAAAAATGTCTAAGTCAACCCTCTAGAAGTATTTCCAACAGTTATTGGACATAATAATCTCAATGTTTTAAAAGAGGATTTCTAAATCAAAAACATCGTTTCATTAGCCTAATCACTTTTCTCTCTCCAAAAGCACAGATTTTCATTAATTACAGTTAGAATTATGCTACGCACTTTGCAACTATATGAAGTATGATCACTAATGAACTAAAACACAAGTCACAGAGTACTGGTTTTACATGTCTCTGCATTAACAAAGCAGAGATTAAGGTGGCTTTTGCATGTAATTCAACTCTCTTCACAGTTCACTAGCCCAACTCCTCTCTTCTTTAAAAACAATGGCAGGGAAGGAGGAAAAAAATTCTCCATTAAAAACAGCAGTGTGAAAACAGTGGTTGAACCTCAATCAATGGTTCTTAATCTTTTGATTTTTAAACCATAACCTGAAGCACCTATCGAAAACATGAAAACACAGATTTCTGATCCCAATACCAGGCATTCTGGGTTAGCAGATTTTTCTCCGAGATTAGAAATTGGGGGAAAAAAAAGCCAAAATTTGAATGTTCAACGCCATCGGCATTACTGACTACCATTTTATTATGCCAGTCAGGTTACTAATCTATACGAGCTATTTTCTTCTCAATTCTCACCAACACCCAATATCATATGCTAACCTCTGTTTAATTGATAAGGAAATGTGTTCAAGTCTGACTCCAAAGTCCTTCCTCTTTCTACTCTTCAATTTCTCACCGTGTCCTACCAATGTCCACAGGACCCAGCACAGATGACAACTAGCCAGACATGAAAGGGGGGGTGGTCACAGCAAAGGTCACAAAACAGTATAAGTACTAACACTGACGTACTAATGCCTGGTAATAAATAGCGTCAGAGAGTCTCTCTGCACGGAAGAGCCCGCAGCTGCCCTGTGCTTCCCTCACCTAAGGTACCTCTCCTCTCCAACACCCCCATCACCCTCTTCGCCTCAGGGATGTGCAAGTGATGGAGCCAGAGCAGCAGAGGTCCCCACGCTGGGCAACACTGACTGATCCACAGATGGGCATGTAGTGCAAGCAAGTCCCTAGAATTATCTATTTGACTGCAAGGAAAACCCCATAAAGCCTGTGGACAGCAGAATCCAGTAAGGTCCCTGGAAATGCTTGGGCATTTTTCCTTCAATTGTGCTCCTTCAGCAATCCGTGTAAGCTGATAAATAACCATTCTACCTAGGTATTACTGGATTTTAATCACTGACAACTAAGAATTCTGACTATTACAAACTGACTATATTCACAGGTGAGAAATGGAAGTAGCAGCAGAGTTCACAGCAAAACTAGAGGTAGAATGAGAACACAGGTTTTTCTGCAACTAAGACCTGCACATTTCCTAAATATCGAAATAATGGATTCCAACAGAATGTATTCATTAATTTCACTGAAAAATTACTCTATCATTTTAGAGCTTCTACTTTGAAAACTTGTATTTTGCTGTCCAAGTATTTTGCTGTCATGGATTTCTACTCAGTGAGCACTTTCCGTAATATCTGCCTAATGGAACCTGCTGGCCATATAACCCTAGATCCCATGTTGTGAATGAAGAAAAATAATAGTTTCAATCTTTCAGGTAAGACTTTCCCAAAAATTAAGGATGCAATGACTGAGTCCTACAACCACAGGGAAGACAGTGCTAATTCACAGCCCCATTCCCCACTGACAGAACACTATCTAGACTAGATTCTGACCATAGCAGCTGCACAGATAATCACAGGTAGGGTAACTCCAGGCCACATGGTTTCTAATCCTGGTCCAATCACTGATGCTCTCTGGACTGCAACAGGAAGAGATTAAGGATAACTACTCCATATCTCATGGTAGTCAAAAAGGGGAATGAATTCTGTGAGAAATCTAAAAAATTGTTATAAATGATTGTGACAGGAACTTTGTTGCCACTTTGCAGCTGAACACCATGAGGGACACAATAGTCATGGAGCAGGTTTGCAAGGCAAGACTCTGCTATTTTAGTTGAAGTTCTTGTGCCATATATTGAAAGCACACAGGCCAGTAAAGCTGATCACGCAACAATAGTATCATGAATAAGGGAGGGTGGGACAGGAAGGGGGCAAAGTTTTCCCAGGCACAGGGAAGGGGACATGGTGACCAAACTTCAAGAGACATCTGCATCAGCAAAGTGTAAGTGCTGATGTTATCACAAGCAGAGTAAACCTGAGACCACCATGGAGATAGTCACCTAATGAGGCCAAGGGTGGCCTAGGCATCCCGGGGTCTGCCTCAGAATACAGGCTATTCTCCTAGGTAGTCAAGGAATGCTCTGCTGTGATTTGCAGATAGTAAATAGGTCACACTTGCCCATAAGTGCTCAGCTCATAGGAACCCACAAATGATCATACCTAAAATCCAGAGTCCTGATATCTTAGGAATTCTCTTGATCTTAACCAAATCACAGGATTAAAAATATGAAAATCCAGGATGTCTATGCACTAAGTGTACTTCACATTTTTACAAAGACTGGTAACATCTTCCATTTTAACTCTGATGTACTCCACACTGAAAACAAGGAGTTATGCTATTCAAAGAACGTGCAATATAGTTTTATAGTTGACTGGACTGTGACACATAAAACCTAAGATTTCAAAAAAAAATAAAATAGGAGCCTCCCTGGTGGTGCATGGGTTAAGTCTCAGCGCTATCAAGCTATCCCCAGCCACAGTAGCATGAGGCCATGAGTTCAATCCTCTACCAGGGAGCTGACCCATATAGCCCAGCACACCTCTCCTGTCTCACCTGCTGCTCCCCTCAGCAGTGGATTTCAGTCAATCTGCCTGTTTTGCTCCCCACTCTTGTCTCTGGGGAATCCTCTCACATCCTCCACGCAACCCCCCCACCCCACTCCCACCGCCAGCACCGCTAGCCTACATCCTAGTTCTTGTATGCATAAATAAATTAAAAATAAATAAAACTTAAGATTTCAGTAATGGCGCTACATGTCTATTAAACCTCAGCACTTATTTCCAAAATTTCAAGCAAACACAGTAAAATTCTGTCAAAATGTCAAAAGTATGAGACAAAGTCCTTAATAAGGATGCCACTCTTCTCAAACTGAAATGCTAACCCCATGTCTAATTTCTCTCCATGTTCTAAAATGTTGCTTCCTTAAAATTCTACCCAAGACAAAAATTAGTGTAATTTTTCATAAGCTCTAAAGTGTCCTTTTTCATAAGCTCTTCCAGATATCCAGTCACTGTCTCTCCCAGGACAGACATGAGAGCTGGCAAATCAGCCCCCGGGGAGGTAGTTCTTTTAGGAATGTAAATCCTGACATTGTAAGTCTTCCTGGCTGAAATCAAATGGCAAATCCAGGTTTTCCATGATGCTCCTCTGCCCAAAATTCCCCCTCTCCTTTCGGGAATGACCATCAACTCTCAGAGGAGGTTAAAACACACTGCAGCTCACCTGCACTCTCAACTCCTGCCAAACCTGTACTTTGCAGTATCAAAGCAGCCTGGGCCTCTTAAGGGAGCACACGGTCGTTCCTCGAGAGGTGACCACAAAGAGAGGTGCCTGTTTTTCAAAGTGGAAACGCTCAGATCTTGGTGAGCATTCACAGTACGAGGCATGCCTTTTTCCACTGAATTTCATGTTGATTTCAATGCCAGCAGTAACTAAAGTGCATCCCATGAAGACACCACGCTGCTCTGAAACGCATTTTTAAAGATCCCTCCCGCCCATCTTACAGAAGCCGCGTCAGCAAGTTCAGTATCACTCCTTTTCCTCAAAGGGCTCGAAGTTTCAGAACAGACTGTTTCCCAAATGAGTCTTCAACAACCCTCATAAAGGCTCTGTCCAGATTTCACTGGCCGACGAATCATGAAATAAAATTCAAGCGTCAACGCCAGAAAATTAGACGCCCCCTTCAAGAGGCAGAAAAAAACAAAACAAAACTAGGACGCTGCCAGCCTGGAGTTTAAATCTCTCAACTTGAACTCCATGGAAACAGGAGGGTGTTCCCACCAGCCCGACAGCAGGAGGCTCTTTGTTGGACACCTCGTATTTTCACGAAATCCTTCATTTTGGAAAAACTGTCAAAAGTTGAAAATTCATTTCTCGCCGCTTTAAAGAGCGCCTAAGAGATTGGTCATTGAAACAGACACAGGGTGGGTCCCGCAGGCTGAGGGGTGGCGGAAGGGGGCGCTGAGCAGGCCTGGAGAAGGGGCAAGGGGAGGGGGGCGCTGAGCAGGCCTGGGGCGCAGGGGAAGGGGCGAGGGGAGGGGGGTGCTGAGCGGGCCTGGGGTGCAGGGGAAGGGGCAAAGGGAGGGGGCGCTGAGCGGGCCTGGGGAGCAAGGGGTGAAAGGAGGGGGGCGCTGGGCAGGCCTGGGGCGCAGGGGAAGGAGTGAGGGGAGGGGGGCGCTGAGCAGGCCTGGGGCGCTGGGGAAGGAGTGAGGGGAGGGGAGTTGAGCGGGGCTGGGGCGCAGGGGAAGGGGCGAGGGGAGGGGGGCTGAGCGGGGCTGGGGCGCAGGGGAAGGGGCGAGGGGAGGGGGGCTGAGCGGGGCTGGGGCGCAGGGGAAGGGGCGAGGGGAGGGGGGCTGAGCGGGGCTGGGGCGCAGGGGAAGGGGCGAGGGGAGGGAGGCTGAGCGGGGCTGGGGCGCAGGGGAAGGGGCGAGGGGAGGGAGGCTGAGCGGGGCTGGGGCGCAGGGGAAGGGGCGAGGGGAGGGAGGCTGAGCGGGGCTGGGGCGCAGGGGAAGGGGCGAGGGGAGGGGGGAGACGGCGGCGCAGAGCGCGCGGCGAGGGGACCCCAGGGGCGGGACCCCGAAAGCCGCCGGGCGGCCGCGCCCCGCGCCCAGCCCCAGGCGGGGCAGTCCGTACCTGTCCGACCGGCCGGGAGACGCCGCGGGGCCCGCGCCGCCCGCCCCTCTGGCGGCGCCGCGTCTGCCGCCCGCCAGCCAGGAAGCCTCTGCGGCCTGCGGCTTCCCGCCACCGCCGCCGGCGCCCTCCTCCAGCGACACGGCGAGCTGGCTGAAGGCGTAGAGCAGCGAGCAGAAGCCGCAGGCCACACACAGCAGCACCACGCGCAGGTAGCGCCGCATCGCTGCGGCCGGGCCCCGCACCCGCCGCCGTCGCCGCGCCCGCCCGGGCGAACTGGAGCGGAGGGAGCCGCACGGCGCAGCCGCGGGCGCAACAAGTTCCTCCGCCGCCGCCGCCGCCGCCGCCGCCGCCGCCGCGGCCTCGCGTACGCCACGCCCCGCTCGCCCCGCCCACCACCTCGGCCGGCGCGCTGAGCCCGCGACCTCGCCTCCGCCGCCGCGGACCCACCCGGTGGGCGGGGCGACGCCGGCACGCCTGCGCACTGCGCGCGGAGGCCCAGGACGGTAGGAAGTGGGGTCGCGGCCGCTGACCCGTTCAAATTATGGTTCTTGGGGCCTCCCCGATGGCGCAGGGGGGTGAGCGACGCGCTGTGAAGTTGTTCGCAGCCTCTGTAGCGCGGGTTCGATTCCCGGTCGGACAGGGAGCAACCCCCATGGCGCAGCAGACCGCTCCTGTCTCTCCTGCTGCTCCCCTCAGCAGTGTCTTCGGTCCGTCTGCCTGTTCTGCTCCCTGCTGTGTCTCTGGGGACTCGTCTCACTGTCCCGCGCCTCAGGCCTGTACTCCGGTTCGAGTATAAATAAATAAAATCTTTTAAAAAAAAAAAATTGTGGTTCTTCTGTTATAGGACAGCCCCGAAAGACGTGAAACAAAGATTTTCACTGCGAGTCCTGCAGACCTAGTGCGCTTTATGGTGACCAACGCAAGAAAAATTACTTTGGGCTGGCCAACCACGGGTGAAGCTTGGAAGCCACGTTGGGCACCAAGCTGTTATAGGGCAACCCCAATATTGAACGGGTTCCTAGCTGTGGGTCCTCACCTGCGCGCTTACAAGGGACTTATTAATACTCCACCACAGACACACACAAAAGGTTAATAAAACGTTTATTTACAAGGGAAAAAGGAAATAAGGAAAATGTACAACTCAGGGAGAAAATAGGGAAATAAAGTCTTTAATGCGTCCTACCCGATCCGACGACCTGGAAACCCAAAGTCACTCTCAGAGTTGGCCGGGCGCTGCGAGCTGGCGGAGAGCCAAAATGGGGGGTCCCCCAAAGCCCACGTGTCTGCCTTTATATCAACCTGGCTGCTTAACCCCACCCTCAGGTCCCAGCCACCTTCCCTTTGGTGGTGATGGGATTTGGAGTTCCCAGTGTCTTTGGCTTTGGCCTGGGGTGGGGGTGGAGTCCACAAAGCCTGTATGGAATTAGCTTTAGGACGTCCTTTTCCCCCTAACACTTCCACCCGTAGTTCGTCACGGGAGCAGCTTGGGATCTCAGAGGGTGTCTCGTCGTCTCTAAAATAAAGATTTTTTTCCCTTTTTTTCTTTAAAGATTGATTTATTTAGGCATACAAGAGCTGGGGTACAGGCCAGAAGCGTGGGGGGGTGAGAGGATTCACCAGAGACAGTGGGGAACAGAACAGGCAGATTGACTGAAATCCACTGCTGAGGGGAGCAGCAGGCAAGTCAGGAGAGTCTGTTGTGCCATGTGGGTAGCTCCCTGACCGGGGATCGAACTCATGCTGCAGTGGCTGCCCACAGCTTCATAGGTTGTGTCTTAACCCCTTGCGCCACCAGGGAGGCCCCTTCCTTTATTTTTTTATGCTCAAAGGAATTATTTTATTAACTTATTTTTTTATTTATATTTTTTACATAATTGTGTATTTCCCATGAAAGTCCCACCACCAAGTAACCCGTGAACCATCACCATGGTCCCCTGTGCTCTTCCCTCCTCTTTTGATCTCTTTTCCTCCTCCACCCTCACAGAATGTCTCTGATGTATGGTTGCCTGCTAATCTTGTTGTTTTATTATTGTTGTTGTTGTTTTCCTGATCCCTTATTTGTTTCCCCTATATTCCTCCTATAAGTGAAACCATCATTCCCGTGGCATAGGTTGTGAAGATGGAATTGTATAACCCACAAGAAATGCTTTGCTCTTAGAAGGCACTTGATGAAGTCACTTTTCAGCCTCATTCCCCTCAGCAGGAACTTCACTGGAGTCTGCAAAGGAGGCATGTCTCACCTAGATACCTAATTACCCCCTAATGCTGTCAAGTAAACACAGCCTGCCTTCCAAGGCAGAAGACCTAGATCCTCCTTTTCATCTTGCTGACCTTTCTCCTAACTCCTGATCAAGCACCTTTAAAAACTATTCTCCCTCAAAAAGCTTTCTCTTTCGCCTTCCCTTTCTTCTCCGCTTTCTTCAGCCATATTTTCTACCCCATTCACTTATGGAACAGAAAGCACCTTGTGAACCCTTGAGGAGTGAGCTTTGAGGGGTGGAACAGGAATACTTGAAACCAAGGGCAGTGCAGAGTCAAGTCAGAGATGTGCCCGCGAAGTTGTGGACACCCACCCCAAAGCGATTAGTTCTACCTGCCACAGCGATCATGAGACAGTTCATAGCAAAGGTGGCCTAAAGTACCGAGTGGGGTGAGGGAAGTGATTCCTGGCTGAGGGATCAAGGATACAGGCTCCTGGGTCTCCCTGGTTGTGCAGGGATTAAAGTCTCAGCGCTATCAAGCTATCACCAGCCCCTGCAGCAAGAGCTCATACCCCACTAGGGAGCTGACCCACAGGCGCAGCAGACCTCTCCTGCCTGGCCCAGTGCTCCCCTCAGCCGTGGATTACAGTAGATCTGCCTGTTCTGCTGCCCACTCTGTCTCTGGTGAATCCTTTCACCCCCACCACCCCACCTCCAGCCTACACCCCAGTTATTGTATGCCTAAATAAATAAATATTTTAAAAAAAAAAAAAAAAAGAGGATACAGGCTCTAGTGTTGGAACTGTCAGAACTTCAAGACCACCAGCTGAGTGAACTGGAGAGAGGATGCGATGACCAGTAAGACTGTCGAAGTTGAAGGGTCCAGGAATTGGAGTGCCTTGTTTATCACACCAAGGACTTAGAAACTTAACCTTGAAGACAATGCACTGAAGGGTTTTTAAGTCAGGAAGTAACATAATCACCTTTGCATTTTAGAGAGCTGGTTCTGGCAGCAGAGTAAAGGCTGGGACAGAGATTGAGGCTGGAGCCAGGAAGCAGCTACTGTGCCAAAAAGTGAGGGAAAGGAGGCTTTGAAAATGCACACATGCACTCTCATGGAAGAAAACTGTTCTGTTAAATTGTTCAGATTGCATGTGGAGATTTGACGATAAGGCTGAGAAATGTTATGTAACAGAAATTCTCCATTTGGAATTGCCAATAAAGTGCTGGCTCTGTGACTATGGGAAAGACACTAAACAAATATAAGCCTCGCCTACTTACCTTACCTGATAAAAAATGAAAACTAGCATGCTTCAAGATGTGTAAATAGAATGAAAATATACACATATCTATTTGATAAGCATTTATTGAATATACTCTACATGCCAGACAAGGGGCTAGAGTGAACTGCCCTCAAAAGGGAGACAAGCAAGGAAAAACAAGAAAACTAAATTAATCCTACTGTACCTTACAATTCTTAGAGAAATAGAGATCAACTTAAAGAAGCACGGAGAATGATAATAAATGCATTTATAAAAATGGAAAATAGATTTTGAGAAAGTTAAAAGTGATGTGCCAAGAAACAAGATTAAAGAGTTAGTACTTACATAAATGATGTTTAATTGTTCTCCATTTCAACAAAGAAACTAAATGTAGTAAGAAAAAATAAGTAATGATTTAATGACCCACAAATTGTTAAAATATTTGGCAGTTTTCATTTCTGCAATAATTTATGGGACAAGGATGTGCAGAATAATTGTCCATTTACTTGACATCAGGGTTCTGGAGCATAGCATCCTTTAGGTTTATTTTTAATCATATAATTAAAAAGGAAACTCTGCTGAAAAACTATATAAGGCATTCCAAAAATAGAAATGAGTTTTATTTATATTACCCATACAATATCTTAACTGATCCTCTTAAGAGTCTGAGAAGCTGTATGCATGCCCTTCTGATCATCTCCACAATTCACACATTGCATGTTAGCATTCCTAACATTATTTTAAAATTTTTGATAATTTAAAATATTTTGATGTCATAAATTCGACATTCCCTTCATTATTGTGTGTATGTATGTATTCCGACATCTATTTTTTCATCTCTAGTCTTCCCTCTGAATTATCTAATGACAGGCTGGCTATATCTAATTTTTTTTTTAAATTTTTTTGTGTAGAAGAACTGGGGTGTAAGCCAGCGGTGCGGAGGTGAGTATATCCAAATTTTGAATCAATGTATTTATCTCCCCTTCATCCTGTCAAAAAGGTAAATTTAGGTGAAGGGAAAGAAATTTAAAAGTAGCAATATTTGTTGTTACTTAGATTTTGGAGATAGAGACCTTCTCTGTCATCAAGACTCTTAGGTTCAGGATAATCCAAATCTCAAGGATCATATTTTTTAAAAAGCTAATCTTGGGCCTCCCTGGTGGCGCAGCGGTTGAGCGCTGGGTTGCGAAGCTGACCGCAGGCTCTGCAGCGCCGGTTCCATCCCTGGCTGCTCCCAGGCCACCGGAGGAGGGTCCCACATGGTGCGCAGACCTCTCCTGCCGCCCGCTGCTCCCCTCAGCAGTGTACTTCGGTCCTTCTGCCTGCTCTGTCCCCGCTCTGGCTCTGGTGAATTCTCTCACCCTCCCGCGCTTCTGACTGTACCCAGTGCTTGTATAAATAAATAAATTAATTTTTTAAAAAAAGAGTTGTCATTTAAAAAAAAAGCTTATCTTTATTTTTCTGATGGCTCTTAATATGCTAGGTATATAACATATTCAAGCAATGAGGATTTATTTTTTTTAAGACTTCTCTAAGTTACTTTAGAACAAATTTGGGGTCCTAGTCAACATTTCCCCTTCTGTCTACCTTTGAGTACTTGACTTAGAAAAACAAAATATTGTTTGGGAGGAAATGTAAATTGAATACCTTATCAGACGAATTTTCAAAAGATTTTTTAACTTCCATTCTAAAAAGATATATTTAATTCCTACAACATACTCTCATTTAGTTCTTACAACAGAAACATGAAGATGTGTTATTCCATTCTTTAAAAAATAAGGAACCTGGAATTCAGAGAAGTTTGTTAACCACATTGCTAATAATTAAGGTCTACAGTTTGAATGGAAACCTTTGAAGAGCCAAAACACATTTGTGCTTTCCATGATACCATACCATCTTGCTATGAACAAATAAATGCTGAACTGAGTGATGCAACTTA